ATAGATGTATCTATGAGAAAGCTTAATTTATAACCTCAATTTATAAGTGTCATCACTGGGTGGCTGCTTTTATCAAGCTATTCATGTTTATTTTATTATATTTTAGCTAAAACTCTTGTTGTACCAACGAGGTACAGATTGTGTATTTAATAATAAAGGAAAAAAAAAAAAAATTTCTTATAGAAAAAAACCAAAATAATTCGAACTTAAAACTGGATAAAGATCATTTGTTTGATGAATTCAGTTATATTGAACAAGTTTTTCAATCACGAATAAATGAATGACAAAAAAGTTCAGCTAAATTAGAAGTTAAATGGTGTGAAATATTTGAGTACACTAAAACTCATAACATTAATACAACTAACATATCAGCAATTTTAGAATATTCTTTAGCAATGCCGAGTACAAATGCTGCAGTAGAAAAGATTTTTTCTACCATTAATGCCTTATAGACGGACGAAAAAAATCGTTTTTTAGTCGAAACTATAAAATCAATTATCATAATGAAAACACATTTTTCAAACTATTCTTGCAATGATTTTTATAATATTTTATTAAAAGAAAATAAATTACTTGATGCAATTATTTCAGCACAAAAGTATACAAAAATAGCAGAAGACCAACCATCGTCATCAAAATAAAAAATTTTGTATACTTTAGAGCTGAACTAATTGCATCAAGTAATTTATTTATATATCAAAAACATGATACAGTACTCATTAAGTTTAAATTTGTTTTTTTATATTATTATATTTAATTAGGCAACTTATACAATACATCTATAATAATAATTCTTATCTAGTTCACCATTAATATAAAAATAAAATTGTTTTCATGTATCTACTATGTATTAAAAAAATTATTCATTAGATTATTTTGTTTTTTGAAATGNGTACTCATTAAATTTAAATTTGTTTTTTTTATATTATTATATTTAGTTAGGCAACTTATACAATACATCTATAATAATAATTCTTAACTAGTTCACAATTAATATAAAAATAAAATCGTTTTCATGTATCTACTATGTATTAAAAAAATTATTCATCAGATTATTTTGATTTTTGAAATTTCCCGTATTTTTATTTTATTTTTATGGTCACCCCAGTGTATACCTTTTACCGAATGCATGCTTATATTTAGATATTCTAACTTTGTCATTAACTTCAAATTTAGGTTTTCTTATTTTTATATTGTTTAACTTAAATGGCAATTGATGTTTTTTTCTAGCTTCAAACGATGTACATTTAATCGTTGTATGTTTAGTATTATTATAATTAGCTATTAGTTTCGATATTGAATTGTACCAATTCCACGAACCTGTTGATGTAAAATATTTGTAAATTTTATTTTTTATTGTTCTTATGACGCTTTCAACCATACCTGCCTTTATACTACTATATGTACTGTAATGCTTAATATTATATTCTTTCATAAGATCTTGAAACGGTTTATTGTAAAACTCTGTACCATTATCTGTCTGTAATAAATTAGATTGATTTGTTTTTAATATTTGTAAAAAATTGTTTGTAACTTCTGTACTGCTTATATTTTTTAATGCCCGTGCCCATACATATTAGGTATACGTATCTATTACAATTAAAATATATTTAAAACTAGAATTTTGTCTAGAATGTTGCTGCATATCTATTAAGTCTGCTTGCCAAAGATCATCTTTGAAAAGAGATATTACTCGCCGTCTAGGAAATTTTCGTCTTGCTGGTCTATGCAATTCGTTAGCTATATTGTGCGAGGTCTCCGTGATATTATTATTAAATATTATGACTGTGTAATAACATATGTAATATATATGTATATTATATATATATATATATATATATATATACATATAATTTACTACTTTATAAGGTTTCTTTCATGTAGTTCTTCTAAAATCAAAACAATCTCATTATTAACACCTGTATTACCTGCATTTTGAAAAGAAGATAAAAGATCAAGTTGGAAACTAATTCATTAGGATCGTCATAATACACTAATTGTGTTTTATCTGACATATATTAATGTAAACCATCTCCTTTTTTTAGAAATACCCGATGGAAAATTAAATGATACAGGTTGAAGAATAGCATCTGCCGAATGTTATATATATGTTTATATTAAATCTAAAACTGATGGAAATATATATATATACCTCCTAACTTAACATTTTCCAATTTTTTTATGTTTTCAAGTTATTAAAATTTAGTTTTTACCATTATTTACCATGTAATTAGCATGAATTTGGATGTCTATCAATGCAATTTGCCTTTAGTTTGGACCTTATACAAACAAAAATCAACTACTACTACCTAATCAACTACCTACTTTAGTTTTTCACAATGAGATCAATAAGTTAATGAAATATTAACTAGCTCTAGTCTGGATTATTAGTAATTATTAGTAAATTATTAGTTAACAAAATGTGGCAAAGGGGGGCATCATTTGTTTAGTGGCATGGCATGTGGTATTTGAATAATAACTTGAATAATAACCCCATAACTTTCTTATAACTTGAATCTTAATAAAATTAATACATTTAAATTTGCATAACATTAAAGAAAAATACTTTTTTTTATACTGTTAGGAAAGTATACAAGATACATACATTTTATTCAGATAAAAAACTATAATATATTAATTTTATACCAAATTAGTACAAATTAATTAAAATATTAATTTGACCTCAATAAAAGTGAAAAATATTTCTATTGCATGTTGTAATGTGTTATTTATATGTACTAAATCATCTTCAAACAACAAAATTGTTTGTTTTCATAACTTATAAATACAGTATTGGATCAATAATATGTTTATTATAGGAAAACAATTCATAATATTTACCAATATTTATATCACTGTTCTATATTATATTAAATTTACATTATTGTTGTTGTAAAAAAAGGTTTCAAATTTTGATCAGTTTATACAAATGATTAATTTAAATAACATTTTGTTTGTACTAGATTTACAGTATAATAAATGAATACAAATAAATAAAGAGATCAATCCCCAAAAAGTTACTCATTTTAAATGTTTTAAATGATACAAAAATGCACTGCCATCGACTTATTACTAGGCAACATTATGTATTTTATATTTTCAATAATTGCAGAATATTAGCCAGCAAAATTTTATAAAACATTGATTATGCAAATAAAATTTTAAAACAAATTTATTTCAATACATTTAAATACTACGTTAAAAATTATTTAGTTGATTTCTTCAAATAATTTTTGAACATAAATAAATAAATGTGTTTTTAATATTAAAATAATCATTTGTTTGGTAGATATACAATGTATGTCAAAATGTCTGAATATAAGTATTTAAAAGTGTGTTTGGTTTGATAAAAATAACACGATTAAAAAAAAAAAAATTAAAAAATCACAAACAATAATATTTAATAGATAATTAAAACAACAATGGAAAAACACAAATTTGCTAAATGTTGAACACAGTTAATTAAAATAGTATTGAGTTAATAGATTTTTGATTTAATTTGGTTTTTATATTATAATAATTTATTTATTTTAGTAAACTATAATTTATTGAATTTAATTAATTTATAATTAAACTATTTTGGCAAAAGAATGTGTTGAATTTAAAAATTAATTATAAATATTAATTTATATAATAGTTATATAAATTGACTTTTGTTTTTTTTTTTTTTATTATTTATTATAAGTTGCTTTTTTTAATTTGTTAAAACTAATGTTTTATGTTATATTCAACTAAAAAAAATGTCATCCTATTATTTTAAAAAGAATTTCTCAACTAATTGGATATGATTTAAAGAATAAATTATTAAAATAATATGAATTTTTATTTTTCATTTTCTCCAATATGAGGTTTATTGCTTTTAATATTTTGGTATACATTTTATTATAACTTGGTTTAATTTTTTTATTTAGATCTAAATTAATTTGGTTTTTTTTTTATTAATAACTTCTAATTCTAATTATTCTGTTTTAAGTATAATTAATTTTGTTTATCAAATATTTCATATGAAGTCAATATGATAATTATTATTATAAAATTAATTTGTATAACTAAATGATTTTTTAATTTATGAATTAAATATAATTAAAGTTCTTTTATTATTTATTAGTTTTATTATTAATTAGATTTTTAGCTGTGATAAATCGTACTGACTCATTTAATTTTTCTGAGAGGAATATTAGTTTCAGGATTTAATATTAAATTTAGAATATTATTCGACTCTTTGATTCAGTTAAATGAAGTCATGTGTATTACAATATTATTTGATAAATATTAAAATATTAAATAGTTGACTAAAATTAATTGAAAAAAATTTATTTATTTTAAATAACAAATTATTATAAAATCCAAAATTTCAGATAAATCTAATATTAAAGGGAGTTGGTAAATTGTTTAATAATGTTCATTTATTATTTTTTTATTGTACATTTTGTTGTAAAGTTTCTTTTTTTGCGTTTTAAAAATGAAATAATTAATATAACAATATAATATATATAATAAAATAAATAATTAAATTATTAAATGTATAAAAAAATAATTAAAAGATAATAAATTTAAATAAATTATTAATTTTTCTTTAATTAATATGATATTTAAAATAATATTTTAAAATTTATGATTTTTATTTAATACATTAAATGCAATAATTTTTCAAATATATAGAAAAATAGTTCTTAATCCTCTTACATAAAAATAATAATTATAAATGAGATTCATAATGTTTAATTGATTTAATTAGTTATTATAGTAACTAAAATAGTTTGTAATAAAAAATTATGTTAGATTTAAGGGGATAATAAAGTTAAAATAAAAAATATTGATATTGTGAAATTTATTATTATAATTAATACAATTATCATATTTATAGTTATTCTTTATTAAAGCTATTAAAATTTAATAGTTTTATATTATTAGGTTAAAATTATTTATAAATTATTATTTTATATTTGTATAAAATTAATAAATAAGCAGCTTCTTTTTAAAAATCTTATTAATGGGAATTTTTTTTTCAATGTTTTAATAAACATTTATAAACATCATTCTTGGAATGAATTAAAAATAAGGATTTTAATTGATCAGTCATATATGATTAAGTCGAAATTAATATGTACATTTTTTTACTTCATATTTATTGTTGGTATAAATGTGTTAAACATTTTTTAAAAGCTAATTAAATGTTATATATTTTAACTATTATCCTTATAATGTTTAGAGAACCAAATGTTCATACATAAAAAATATTTAAGACAATAAAAATGAAAAACGTTATAAAAATTATATACAAATAAATTATATTTGAAATTTTAAAATTTTAAAACTTTAATGATAATGGAACATGTGATTTTTAAATGGATCAAATGGATCAAATTTAATGGATTCTAAAAGTGCCCGTTTATTATAATTACGTTTTTATTTTTACATGAATTAGTATTATAATTATAAATATTTATTAATATTATTAAAATTAAGATTGTTAAAATTATATTATTTAAATAATTAAACTTTTAGATTAGAAATCAAATATACGTTTTCTATTAATAGAATAAAATATATTGTTTCATTAATAAAAAGTTATATTTAAAAATAATCAAATAATATCATAAAATTTAAATATCAAGCTACTAATTTAACGCATAAAGATGAATAAATTAAAAATGATATTTTATTATTCAAATTAAATTTAATATCAACAAGATAGTTCCAATAATTACATGTTATCCATGAAAACCTGTAGCTATATAAAATCATGATCCAAAAATTGAATCAAAAAAATAAATATAGCTTGTGAATATCTATTGAATAATTTGAATAAGGGGTAAGCATAATCTTATAAAAATAATAATTAAATTTATACAAATTAGTGTTTTATTTTTTTTTTATTTTTTATAAAT